GGCTGGAGAGATGGCTTAGCAGTTAAGAGTTCTTGCTGCTCCTGCAAAAGACACAGGTTTGGTTCTCAACATCATATGCAGCAGCTCGCAATGACCTGTCACTCCAACAACAGGGACTCTGACACCATCTGGCCTCAGCCACACAGTGCACATAAACTCATGTAGGCACACAAACATACACATAAATAAAGATAAGTACACCTAAATTTGTCAACATAAATGATTAATTATTTTAATTATATTAGAAATTCAGTGTTTGGAAGGCAGTGGCAGGTGAATCTCTTTAAGTTCAAGGCCAATCTAGTCTATATATCAAGTTTTCCAAGCCAACAAGAGCTTCATAAGAGAGCCCCCGTCTCAAAAAAAAAATAATAATAATGTTATTATTTATACCGGTGGGTTCTTGTTCATGTTCCACTGAATGGGGGAAGTAACATTTATTCCTATGCTTATGCTTATAGAAGTATAATGTTTTTATGATAATCTAGAAATTGTTATTTTGGAAACTATGATATATACATCTAAAGTGTTACTGCTTAATTGCTTAGGATTAGTTGTATGAAAAACGTGGCTTTTATTCCCAATAGAGATTAATAGAAAGCCTGATTGAGAAACAGGCTTTGAATATCCTTCAAATACCATGCTGAGGATTTGCTCTAGTTTCATTCTGCTGTTATGAGAAACACCATGGCCAAAAACAACTTAAGGAAGAAAGGGTTTATTTCAGCTTCCAGATTACAGTCCGTTGTCGAGGGAAGTCTAGGCAGAAACTTGAAGGTAGGCCTGCTTACTGTTGTTCCATACAGTATTACCTCTGACCAAGAAAGTACAAGAAACCTGGGAAGAATGATGCTGCTTGACTTGAACTCTGGCTTATACTCAGCAAGCTTTCTTATGCAGTTCATGCTGCCTGCCTTAAGGCCCTCCAGCATCAGTTAATAAGACAAACACACACTCCCCATAGATATACTCACAGATCAATATGATCTAGCCGGTTTCCCAACTGAGGCTCTGCTCTCAGATGACTCTAGGCTATATCAAGTTGATTGTTGAAGCTAATCAGAGCAGGGTTTAAAGGGATGTACTGAAGGAATTTTAAGTCATTGAAGATTTTTTTTTAAGCAAGATTTTGATGAGCTTTTGCAGTAGTGTATTGTTGAAATGGGCCGGGTAGTGAACACTGAAATAGAGTAGAAACTTCCAGGTGAGGAAGTTGAAGGAGAAAAGTTGATACTGGGTTTTTATGCCTAACTGGCCCTGTTTGAAAAAAAATTAGTCTTAAAGTATTTGTTTTTAAGGAAAAGTTCCAACTTCAAAAGATAACTTTCATTTGACAGCCACCAGGCAGCTAAAGAAGCAAAAAAAAAAAAAAAAAAAGTCTCTGTGTTTGAGATGTCTCTGTAGGAGTCATTCACATTAAGGTAAAAGTTAAAGTCAGGAGACAAGAGCTACCTAGGAGGAACAGAAGGCAAAGGCATTACATCACTGGAAAAAAATGGAAGAAGTACCTGCATATTGTCGCAGTTGTCGAGAGATAGCTGGGTTTTGTTTGTGGTGTGTTTGAGGGGAGGGAGGGTTGTTGTTGTTGGTTTGGTTGGTTGGTTGGTTGGTTTTTCAAGATGGGGTTTCTTTGTGTAGCCCTAGCTGTCCTAGAACTAGCTCTGTAGACCTCAAACTCGGATACTGCCTACCTCTGCCTCCTGAGTACTGGGATTAAAGGTGTGTACCACCATGCCTTAGGAGATAGTTTTAATGAAGCAGTAAGTAGGGTCTAATGCTGGAAGGAAAAAAATAAGAGAAAGAAAAAAATCAAAGGTTAAGAGAAGCATCACAGCTAAGAACTACCAATGATGTTAGAGAGCGAGGAGCCAAGGATGATATGAGAAGTAGAAGCAGATTTGCACAAGTGAATCAGACCACATGCAGACTTTAGTTTAGCTGATGGTACTGTACTTTACAGAAGAACAAGACACACCTGGAAATTGTGCATAAATTGTCACCTTTTGTATCCCAAACACCATAAGCTTTGGGTTCAGTGAGTTCTTCAGAATTGTTTGGATTTTTTTTTCCTTTTTCTTCACAGACTTGTCTCAAACTTGTAATCCTCCTGCCTCAGCCTCTTGACTGCTTGCTAGAATTACAGGTACAGGCCCAGAAAAGTCATTCTTTTATAAAAATCAAAAGTAAATGAATGACAATTGCCACCCTCATCTCACCCTGTATTATGTGCTATTTATATAATCAGTGGCCAATCAATGGCAGTAGTAATAAACATTGTTATCTGTAGGTGCAGATGTACACTGGAGAAATTCAAGCATCTTAGTATAAATACATGAAATCACTAGAGCAAAGTCAGTTCTGTGTCTTAACTGAAAATCCTATTCACTGTGGATACAAGCTTTTTTGTTACTTTTATAACTCCAAAAGACATGGATTCTCCTTCAGGTCTTAAAGCTTAAGAAGCATGTCAGAGGCCTGTACTCAGGAGCTGTTGTCACAACTGTACAGTCATGGATGAGTCACTTAAAAAAATAATCCTTACACCAGGAAAACTCCACTAGCTTTACTGTTATTTGCTGGATGGAATTTTGAGGTCTTTGCCTCTGTTGTACATAACTCTCCTAGCTCTGTTACGACAGACTACCAACAGTTTGTTGTCAGTGACAGTTCAGTGGGCATTTTCAGATGACGTAAGTGTGAAACAGCCCTGTGCTCAGGCCTCAAGATGATAGTGATGTGTCCACACAGATTAAGCCTGTCTAGGCATTCTTCCAGCTAAATCATTTCCTTCCCCTGTGATTAACTTTGCCTGGTAAAAGCATTCATTGTAGTCTAGAAATTCTATGAAGACAAAATTTGGAATTGTTTTCAAAATCTTACTGAAACAAAGATTCTAGAATGGTGTATACATACATATATAAAAATATGGAAGCTGCCCCACGTCATATTTTCCAGGTTCAAAAGGAGAAAGGGAGAGGAGAGAAGGAGAGAGGGATGAAGAGATCTTCCCCCTGCCTTTTTGTTTGTTTGAGGGGGTTTGTTTGTTTGTTTGTTTGGAGGTCATATTGCTGTGTATCCCAGGCTATTGCCCAGGACACAGCAGGTATATCATGATACTCATAGAAATGAGAGAACATTGAAGAAATTGATTCTCAATTTCTGCCAAGTGAATTCTTAGCATGGTGGCATGTACCTACACTGCTGGGACCCTAATACCCAGTTTTTTTGTTCTAAAAACATTGTTAACATTTTTACATGAATTAGACTGCTGTAGGTATTTTGAAGAATATAAGTGGTCTAGATTTTCTTTCAATAATGTAAATAGGAATACATGCATATATATCTCACATATGACACACAAACATGTTAACACATAAAAAAATATATTGTCTGGGGATATAACTCGGTTGGTAAAGTGCTTGCCTAGTTTGTAAGAAAGTTTGGGATTGATCTCCAGCATCACATAAATTAGGTATGATAGTACACACCTGTTTCTAGGACTCAGGAGGTAGTGACAAGGTCAGAAGTTCAAGGTTGGACTGGTAAGATGGTCAGAGGGTAAAGGTGCTTGTTGTCCAACCTGAGTTTGATAACCTAGACCTGTTACGTGGTGGAAGGAGAACAGTGATTCACACATGTTGTTCTCTGGCCTTTACATGCATGCATGCATACATACAGAAATGTAGTTTTAAAAAATAAAAATGAGTTTTGAGGCCTAGGTAGCCTCATGTAGCATGAGACCCTGGGGGTAGGGAAGAAATCATTGAGCTAGGAATGTAGCTCAGTGAAGTATTTAGCCCTTGGTTTGCTATTCAGCATCACAAATAGTTGGGGAGTGCATGCTCTTTGTGTATGTGTGTGTGTGTGTGTGTGTGTGTGTGTTGTGTGTTTGTTGTGTGTGTGTGGAGAGAGAGAGAGAGAGAGAGAGAGAGAGAGAGAGAGAGAGAGAGAGA